ACCCCCACAAAAAAAAAAAAAAAAAAAAAAGGTGTGGGGGTAACTCGGCAAAGGGGGGCTCTAAACTTGAATTAGAGTTGTTGAGCCTTTCTCATTGGTTACACTTTCTTTTTTCTTCCCCCTTTGTGCCTCTTTAATTTCCCTTTCCCCCTTTTTATCTTTTTTTCCCAGTGTTTTTTCCCTCCCCTTTTTGGTTCTGTCTGGTTTTTCGCCCTGTGAACACCAAACTTTGTCATTAGGCTGGACTAAAGCAGTGGCAGCAGATGGGCATTAGTGTAAGCTGAATGCTTGGGTGTTTGAAAGACAAGTGTCTCTGAGTAGTGTGTGTGATATACTGCAGGGCATATGCAAAGGTAAGACTTTAGCTATCCGTTTCCCTCTTTTGAGGTTTCAAGGGTTACGAAATGGCATTACAGCTTCTTTGGCATTGTTCGTAGTTGTGGATCGTTCTGTTTTTCGCTCTCTTTCTCGGTCTTTTGTGACTTGACTGCTATCGTCACAGTAGTGAACGTGGCCTTGTCACTCACCGTATCCTATTGGTTGTAGTTTTCTCTTGCCGTCATCGCCTCGTTCTCTCTCCATCTCCCTCTTTTCCTTGTATTTCCCTCTCACTCTGGCCACACCCAGACTTCTACTGATAACTGACAGCTGTCAATCACCTTTGGTTTTCTTTCCCTCGCACTTTGACTTTTGTTATAATCTACACAAATGTTTATATTTGCACCTTTGAGAAGCTATTTTATATTAAGGCTGTTTATTTTAATGAATAAAACTAAATTGTTTTGGCAACAAAGGCTGAGTTTATTTGATCGAACATGCAGCAAAAACAGTAATATTGTGAAATATTATCAAAAGTTGAATGAAAGGTTTTCAATTTTAATATATATTTCAAAATGTAAATTATATGTAATTTATACTTATGGTGACAGCCATTACCCAAGTCTTCAGTGTCACATGATGCTTCAGAAATCATTCTAATAATACGCTATAATAATTTATTATTATTATCGATATTGAAAACAGTTGTGCTGCCGAATATTTTTGTGGGAACTATTTTTTTTTCAGGATTCTTTGATGAATAGAAAGTTTGA